AGAAGACGGTGGTGGAAAATGATGGTGGGTGGTGGTGGCAGGTGGGTGGTAGTGGCGGAAGACGGTGGTGGAAAATGGTGGCGGGTGATAGCTAGTGTTGGGTGGTAAAAAAAAAAAACTGAAAACTCAAAATGGAAACACATTTTTTGTGTTTTCATTTTTTGGCCAAATTTATAAACTGAGACCACTGATTTATAAATCAAAAATTTTATCAAACAAGTTTTTATTTGAGTTTTTAAAATTTTTGTAAATATAAACAGAAAACTGAAAATGTAAGTGTTACCAAACGACACCAGTGTTTCAAACTGGAAAGCTTCACCTTTTTTTTTTTCTTTATTTTCCTATTTTTTATTTTTTTGGGGGATAAATTTTTATCGCAATGTTTTAGGATTTTTGCTTGTAAGGCGTGTGGAGGAGGGAAAAAAGTTGATGTTTTTCTATGAAATTGTCACGGTTTTGAATTTATTATGTTTTCAGAAATGCGCTATATATATATGGAGGAAAAATATACATTTAAAAAAAAATGCTTAAAATTTGAATATGTGGAGTAGGTTTAAATTTTAGTGTGGTATGGGTTATATCCAAAATAAATTTGATCTACTCTACACTTTTAAATTTTGAACATTTTTGTAAATATTTTTTCTAGGGTTTTCCTAACAAGTGCTTTTAGGGCACAAGGCAGATACAAAAGAATTAAAGATCACTAGATATTCTTATTAAAATTAATACGTTTTTTAATATTTTTATCAATTTTCAATACTCTTTTTACCTTAATCTCAATATTAAATAATGCCTTCCATACTTGTTAGCATTTATCATCTTTTTTGTTCTGAAGTTCAAAGTAATGTTATTAGGGTTTTTTGGGCCTGAGACCTCTCTTGTCCAGTGCTAGCTGGTATTGAGCTAGAAAAACCAAACCCCTTCTTTCTTGTATTTCAACTATTTTATGTCTCCAGATAGTCTTAAAATATTCACAATTATTAAAAATTATGAGAATTTCAAAATATGAGAATCTTAAAACATAATAAAGTGTTTTAAAATATAAAAATAGAGATTCGGGATAAAAAAAAAATTTGTGACGTGGAAACCCTAAACGATGTAATGTAATCCTAAACGATGTAATGTAATCTTGATCGATAGAGACTTGGGGAGATGGTGAAGCGGAGAGAGAGAGAGAGAGAGAGATGGTTGTTTTTTGTGTAGAAATTTCCCTTTCAAACACCAAAAACAAGCAGAAGAATGCTGGTCAATCTTGTTACATTACATCAATAATTGATGGTTATGGGATAAAATAATACAGTGTCATAATGAATTTTTATTATCTATTTGTATGGTTTCATGAGATTCATTTATATTATTGTCACATCAATATCACAAGTGCCTCTATAAAATAAATTAGTAGTTAAACCCATGCATCGGGCTAAACATATTTGTTTTAAAATATTTTTTTTTTAAATTTAGTTAAATGTATAGATAAAATATTTAAAATAATCGTTAAATTGGAGAGAGAAAAAAAAGAGCAATAGTTTAAAATTTAAATAATAATCTTAATAATTTTAATTGTATCGTTCCATAAAAGAGTTACTTAAATCAACATATATACTAATTTTAAATAAATTATTTGTGTATTTTAATAATTTTAGCTCTATCATGTTATAAAAATATAACTTACATATATATATATATATAATAGATTTCATAAAAATAAATATTTTTAATATTTAGTTTTAAAAAAAAAGTGAAAAATGTATAATAAAATTAGTTGGTAAAATATTTTTAGTATGTAGAATTCTATTAATTTTTGTTTATGGGTAATTAGATTAAGTAGAAGTCTTTTAAATATTAAATTTTAAAAAGAATTTTGATAAGGGTATTCATTTAGAAATTTAATAAAAAAGAAAAGAAAAAAAAAAAGAAAAAGGAAGATGTGTCACATATGAGAGAGAGAGAAAAAAGTTCAAGGTAAAAAGTATTTTTTTTAAATAAAGTTCAAGGTAAAAAGTAATTTTTTTAAATTTATTTTGATAATCTTAGTCCTATTATTTTATAAAATTCTTATTTGAATCAACACATAGAATAATTTTAAATAAATTATTTGTGTATATTTTAATAATTTTAGCTCTGTTGTACTATAAAAATATAAGTTAAATAAATATATATAATAATTTTAAATTATAACACATAAAAAGGAAAATATTTATTTGATAATTTTAATCTTTTGTGTTACAAAAATGTAACTTAAATAAATTTATATGATATTAAATTATAACTTGATATTAGAAATAATTGTTATAAAATTAAAATTTTATTTAAGAAATTCAATATAATTGATATTATAAATAAGATAGACATAAAAATAAGAAATAATTTTAATATTTTATTTTTAAAAAGTGAAAAAATATAATAAAATTAATTGGTAAAGTACTTTTAGTATGGATAATTCTATTAGGTTTTGTTTATAAGTAATTTGGATTGAGTGAAAGTTTTTAAAATATTAAATTTTAGAAAGAAATTTTGTAAAATGATATATAGATGTGACATTTTAATTAAAAGAAAAAGAAAAAGAAAGATATGCCACGTAGGAAAGAGAAACATTATTTCTAATAATATATATATATATATATGGTAGTTAAAGGACAAATTAATTCAGTGTATAGATAAAAAAAATATTTTCAAATTAATGATATTCTTTATACAATAATGTTTGAAAGCTCTAATACAACTTTAATGATATGGAACGTACCTATGTGAAAGTGAGGTCTACACTCCTCTCTCTATCTCTCTCTACTCTCTCTCTTCCACCTCACTAGAGCTTCATTTAGAGAGCACTTAGATTAGATGGATGTATCATTACTTTTCTTTATAAATATTAATAAGTAAAATCATAAATTTTTCATGATTTTGTAACAAATTTTGAAGATATCACTGACAAATAATATCCAATAGGTAAATAACACCAAAATTGAGTGAGGAGAAGTTATTGGTTGGCCTTGTGATATTGTCACGTGGTGCTCCAATAATATTGTGATTGGTGAAGGGGTAAGATTTACGAATTTATGTTGGGTGATTAAAAAATAGGCAGTGGCTTTGGTCCAGTTCAAGATCGGACTGGACCGTGCTGTTGGGCCCGTGGAGGCCCACCACGGGTCCCGTTTTGATAATCTGAACCGTTCAATGTGTAGAACTCGTCGAATACTATATGCCTGTAAAAAATCACGTTGATCGGATATCGATAGCTATGTGAATAAAACAGTTTTTTATCAACCGTTAATTGTTTCACTGTTCATTTTTTTTTTATACAAAACTGATTTGATCACATAACTATTGATATCCGATCAACGTGATTTTTTACAGGCATGTAATACTCGACGAGTTCTACACATTGAACTGTTCGGATTATCAAAACGAGCCCAAAAAAAGGCCACGTGGGCCGAACTGGACGGGTCCAATCTTGATCTCAACTTGAGACAAGCTGGACCCAAAAAATATGAGATATGATAAATTATGATTAATATAGGGCATAGTCACCTGCCGCCCCAAGACGAACCAATAATTTTTCCTTGAGTTAGGGGTGGTGCGGTTTGACAGTGTGAGAAATAAATTTAAAACTATCTAGATTTGAGAATATATTTAAAAAGACAAGCATTTGATTATTTAAAAAATTCTTAACAACACTCTGTTTGGATTGAGTTTTCAAAAATAATTTTTCAATTTTTTTTTTCATATTTTGTTATTTTTTTATTTTAATAATTTTTTAATGCACCTAATCTAAATGTACTTAATAAGTAAAATAATTGTGCAGAAATCTTTAAAAAACAATCAAAACATATATTTAAAAAAAATGAAAATGTGCTAAATTTTTATATAAAATTTCAAAAGTTTTAATAAATTTTACACTTTTTAAATTTATCTATATTAACAGAATCTAAAGTGTAAAAAAAAAAAATTAATTAATTAATTAATTAATTAAAATATTCAAAAAAATCTAAGAATTAATAAATAAATAAAAACACAGATTGAAACAGAGAAGAGCTAGTACCAACCAAACTCAGGCCCCATGGGTGGCTAGTCTCTGTTTGTTTGTTAGGGTTGGGTTGGGTTGGGTTGGATGGAGGCACATAAATTG